AACCGCGAATCGAATCAAAGCTGAGACATATAAACCGAAATAATAGTTCTTACTATCATGATAGAGGTATCATTTAAACCAGTTGCATACACAAGAGTTTATGGTACATGTGACTGCATCTTGTTTGGAAAGCGACACATTTGACCTAATACATGCTTGGACAAAAAATCTAAAGAAGGGTCTAGCGTATACCAGAAAAAATAAGTCGGTTCCAATCACCAAATTCGGTCTAGTGGCGGAGGAGAGAAACACCAGAAATGAAAAACATATAAATTGTTCACACCTCGTCTTTGGCGTTTCAAAGGATGCTGATCATTTTTAGACAAACATTTGCAGGGGTCAAAAATTGGATGTCAGGGGTTGGGGGAGGGTATGTGTAATCAATTTTTTGTTGCTAGCAATGTATGCGTATCCAGCCCTAGTAATTCGACACGCCTAATAGACATATTTTATTGAATTACAAGGTATGTAAATTAAGTGATGAGACTGTTTTTTTAATTTTTTCATTCAAATACTATTACAATTTTATATTGTCACCTTCAAAATAACTTTCTTTTGAAGGCACACGGTGTGAGTGACGATTCTTCCAGTTCTCTTATAGCAGTGCTGGAATTCCTATAATGAAATAGCCTCCAGCTGGTCGGTTACAGCCGTTCGATTGTTTTAGACTGCCCCAGAATGAGTTCCTTTGAGGTGATTTTTCAACTTCGGAAAGATCAAACGTCACAAAGGCCCAAGTCAGGCGAATAAGGAGTGTGAGGCGCCAAAGGAATGTTTCTATTGGCCAAAAACTCATTGCTGTGTAACAAGGAGCACTATCGTGATGCAGCACCCAGTTGTCCTTGATGTGATGAACGGTGCTGTGAGACAAACTTAACTCTTCTTCTAACTCTTCAGATCATTCTGACTGTCAACTGACGATCTGAACGATCAAGATCCCGCATTCTGACCATATTTTCATTGCTTTTTGAAGATTCCGCTTCAAGGTTCATCTTCCGCTTCAATCAACTCTCTATCTTCTGAAAATGCCTTGAACCTCCAAAAAACCTGGGCTCTTGACAAAGCAGTGTTTCCGTCGCACTGTGCCCAAGTCCGAAGCAAAACCTGATAACACACCGTTGCTCGAAATTGATGTCCATCATTTATAAAACACAATAGGAAAAACGGCTTCACAAAAAAGTCCCTACGGACGACCAAATGACTCGAGCGCGTTCAAACTTGTACCAAAAGTGGATCACATGTTCTCCTGTCTACCTGACCCCCCCCCCAAGCCCGGTGCCACCAGAGTCGACAGATACGGAAAATTATCTTTGTGGAATATCAGCAATGACGGAGTATTCCATATCGGAGATAGTACATCGATATTTGGCATGCCAGAAAACAATTGGAATGAAAGAAATTAAGACTATCCATCCACTGTCCTGGTATCCAACGTTGAGGGCTCTTTACGCAACGCCGGTGACTATTCTAAATCTACTCATCTGCTTATTCAGCTTATACCACCTCCTTTTGCAGGCCACAATAATTTTCTCCACATTTGGCGATTATCTGGAACACTAGGCAATATAGAAAACTATGGATGTTTTATACGTTTTTGTAGAAAAATACTAATTTAATTCGGAGTGTCAACTGTCAAAATGGCACTTCAAGCCTGATCGACTTGTATGCACCTGCCTCCTAACTACTTACTACGATTTTGTGGATGGAAACCAGTCGCATGCTTTTTCCTTCTACTTAATGTGAATTCTTCCATATCATCCGATCCGCACGGGTAATCTTGAAAAGTGACATTATGTTGATTTTTTCAATATTGTATTGTTTTTTTATGAAATTATGTAGGTTTTTCTACAAGATGTTAACTTAGCTAGCTGATGGACATGTTGTAAACTCGTTTTGTAGTTATACGTGTTGCCTAAACGTCTTGAGACTCCAGTTATCAATTTTTCGCTCTGATGTGATCTAAAATCTGCTTCAGAGTTGGCATTATTGGAGGTCTAAGACGTAAGTTTTATACTATACCTAGAGGGAAACGACAATGCAAAGGTGCATAGTGTGCTAATAATATGTATTTTTGTCTCAAATACACTTACTTGAGATTCAAAGCTAGAAATTAATCGCGCATCCACTTTTTCCTATCCATTCTTAAAGTTACATATGCACATTTGCTGAATTTCAAAAATGAGAGAGATAAGAAATAATTATATTCTGGCGAATTACATGTCATATAGTACATGCCAACAGTAATTACAGACAACGTGGGCGCTGTGGTGATTTCCCGTATTTCTCCCCAAATTTTTTGAAAACAAAAAAATGTAAATATCGTGATTTATAGCTTTGAACATAACCTGTCTTCAGAAAGGACAACATATAAATAAACCGTCGGGCACGGCTTTTAGATATACTTCATTGGCAGCATATTCAAGCTATTCAACCAACTTTCTTTTCATAGACGAAAACTACAGACTACTCGGCTCCTCAAAACATATGCAACCAACAATGCGTGTAGCTGAGCCATTTCTCCATAGATGGACGCTCACAGCGATTCTAGTGAGCAAACGTGGAATGACTGTTTGCACCCTGAAAACCAGCTAGTCTGCAAGATTTTATAGGTTTTTTACGTTTTATAGGTTTTTTACATAATACCCGTGCGGATCCTGCTTCTCACTCACCCTCCCCCACCTAGCCCTTCAAACTGCAGTTCATTGAAATAATCTTTCACGTGTTCATAGGATGACCAATTTTCATAGATCTAGATCTTTTATTCTAATGTTCTAGAAAGGGATAGAATTAAGTGGAATAGTACACACAAAAATTAATAATACGACTAAAATTCTTTTCGATTGGTACCGATTTTCCATATTTCTTATCTCGATACATCAATTTTCTGCTGAGATAGGACCAAAGTTCGTCAATATTCCTGTATTGACTGTTTTCAGTTTTAATCCTAACTATACGGATTCCTAAAACTTTCAATATTTACTACTTGTACTAGTATGAATTGTTATCAATTCTAGCAGATTTTTTTTATCGAAGAATATTAGTAAAAAAATCGCCTTTGCAGACCCTCCTCCATTTCATGATTATAATCCTACCCTCTCTTATACTTGGGAAGTGAAATATAGGCTACAATGTAACCTCATTCCAGATTATCTTTGTTTGCTAGTTAGTCTGTGTATAAAAGGCACCTCAGTGCTGCTTTCATTTTTCGTGGCGCGTCCAAAATGATCCTATTAGTGGCGTTTTCAGCTCTCCCCTTGGAGTGTTCTCTCAGCCTAACACAATTTGGGCTATCAAGTTCACCTATCTAGTTAGCGAGGTGCACGGAAAGGGCAGAACTTGGGAGGGGAATATCGAAATGATTACATTTTTCATATATTTTGAAAGAATATTCATTCTAGCTAATTACTGCAAGAGATAACGAATATACTACATGTCCTAAAAAGTATTGTAGGTTTTACTTTCGTCAAAGACTTGAGTCCTCCATGCTTTCCATTACCCAAACGTGCTGCAATTCCCGTAACGTATCGCTGGAATTCATGAAATCATTGTAATACTCAGATACAAAAAGTGCAATAAGAACATCTTGTTATTTCGAAAAATGTTTCCGAGAAAGTGAACCATGCAGCGGTACAAATTAATTGGCACACAATAATTTATTACTCTAGGTGAAACAAAATTTGCAGAGTCGTATTAGAGAAATAAAATATTGAGAAGTCGAGTTTGAAATTTCTTTGAATACGGATCTTTTGAAAGTAGTGTTTTAGTATTCACCCCAAACAGTATCAATATAAGAACATCGAAAACGAAATTTTGTAGCATTACACCTTAGCACCGGTAAGGTGGGTGGAGCGAGTGGAGGACGTGATCGAATAGCTTCTTTCATGGTATTTCCATATTGGATGGTATTAATAAAACGTGAGTACATGCTCTTAGTACTTGCTTAAGAAGAAATTGAGTAGATGCTAAAAAAGTGAGCATGTATTTACATTTGGTATTAATAAAATTTTGACGTAAAAATGGAGCACCTGCTTCGGCCTTGTGAGTACGTGCTCCTAATAATACCGCTGACGCTGTGGATATTTGCGAGTTTCGACAGGTTTTTTATAATATGCGTGCCGCATCGCGATATTCAGTGCGATTGTCCTAGGTGCTATCAGTGAATATCTTTTACAACAATGGATACAGAAGAGGATACCAACGCCAACGGGAAAACTTGTGAAATGTTAAGTTTTGTTAGTATTATTGAAAAATTTCCCGTACTTTTGGAAAATTCTAACATACCCGAGATTAACCGAAAAAAGGCGAATGCAATAGAGGAGATAAAAGGTAGACTAGCAGATCAATTGGGAATAGAAATGAGTGAAGCACAGATATGGAAAAAGTTAAGCAATCTGAAGGCTAGAATAAAAATGGGGAGAATAAAAGGTAAATCTAGTGTGTGCAAAATTCATAGTATTTAATTAGCAATGTTTACAACTACGAGTATAGGAGAGTTGCGCAGGAGCAAAAATGTTTATTTTAATGAATTTCTTAACACGAATTTTAAAAAAAGACTAATTGAGATAAGAAAATCTTGTGGATATTTCTGTGGGTGTGCGAAAGTTATTTTTATTTAAAACGAATAATTTTAAGTCATTCAAAACCAATTGGAAAAATAGGATAACAATTCGATTATTTGTCTTTACATTAAAATTACTTAAGAGTTGACTAAATATAACTATTTTTCGTTCACTTTTGGATGTTTGAAAATTACAAATCCTTGTTTTATCAAAATCTATTGATAAATATCGTCAGTATTTGAGTCAAAAGTTGGTCCTGTTTTCCATTTATTTTCAAGCGTAAATTTTTTGGCGTATTCCCTTTTATATGCAAAAGATATATGTTTCATCATAATATAATACGTATTACGAGAATTGTTAAAGTATCTCCTCATACTGCAAAGGTACTATGTTTCAGATATATTTAGTTTTTATTAAGGTAACTAAGAATACATATTCTTTTTAGGAGCAACTTCTGCTGGTGTAGGAGCACGTAAGACGGAGACCGAAGAAGTCTTGACTGTGAACAATAAGAAAGTCAGCTAGAAGAAAATGAGTCCTTTATAACATACGTTACCGGGTCTTTTGAGAATGCAAGTTCCAACTCTGCATTGCCTGGAACATCAGCGGCGTCTTTTACAGTGCGCAGACTTGTAAAAGAAGCATCCTTGAAAAACCAAAAACAAAAGGAAAAATTACCAGAAACAAATGAAGCTAGACTCCTTAGTACACAAGAACTTCAACGATTGGTACTTTTGGAACAACTGCAAGTCTTTAGGCTTACAAAGAAAATACTACTCCAGAAAAAACAAGATCAGGATAGCCGGCAGGATAATTGCGATAGTCAAGGAGAAGTAACAGAAGCACAGGGAACGACTACATGCAATCTAGAAATCCCTACTTTCTTTAAACTAAATAAAGAATTATTAATAATTTGATCATTATGTTGTTGAAGTTTAACCAAAAATACAATAATAATACAGAAAACAGTGTTGTTTTTTTAAACCGGGCATACGCTACCTTATTTTATTCAAAAAGGTAGATACATACCTAGTTTCCAAATTCTAATTTTACAGAATGATGCAACCAAGAACAATTCGTGAAAATATTTTATCCAGCATTGCTAGTTTGTGCAGTAGCCATCAAAGTAATATTTTTTTAAATTTCAACACCGCACTTCATTTTAATATTTTAGTGGATATTGTAATTCTGAACAAAAAAGTATAGTAACATTTTTTAACTGGTGCGTCCGTTTTCGCTCAATTGCTTAAAGAAGAACTAAAATAATCTAACTGAAAATACACATTTATTCCGACAATTGTTTTAATTGTGGTTGAAATTGAACCAATAAATGCCAATCATAATACCCCTACATAAGTCTTTGCCGGAACCGTTTAATTTCCCCGAAATGGAAAAGAAATTTGTTTTCAGATTATTTTAATTCGTGATCCAGCAATTGAACGAAAACGAACGTGCCAATTAAAAAATGTTTATAATTTTTTAACGCGGATCCGCGCTTCTGGCTGATATAAACTCACAAGACTGTGGTGTTGTCAGTTTGTACCGCTCTCGCTTTCTGTTCGGTCACCTACATATTGAACATCTTTTTGGACTATTTTACGCGTAGGATCAAGTTTCGTTTATTTTTACATTGCGCAATGCCGGATGATGTGGAAGCAGGTTGTTCACGTCCAAAACGAGTGAAAACGTATTGTAACCGTAATAAAGGGCTTACAGAAAAAGAACTGTATGATATTCCTGCCAATTCGGGGAGTGAAATCGAGAATCTAAGTGACTCAGACAATTATGTTCCCAGTTCAGATGGAAGTGAGCAGTCTGATGGAAATATGTCTGAAACGAGTGATGATTTTTCCAGCCCACAGAAAAATCTTTAATAGGGTTTCAAGACATGTGTCGTGTTACTGCACGAAAAAAAAACGAGATAGAAGAAGAAAATGTATATGTGAAATAGTTTTCAATTACACAACGCACATCCAATAGGCTTACGACGCGAATCCGCGCTTCGCTTGTGCAGCGCCTAAAATCGTTTAGCCGCTACCATGCGCGCGGCGCGAGGCAGGTCGCAGCGAACGTGTTAATATTATTATTATAATTTCTTAGCGAGGATTTCTGTATGTGATAAACTATTAGCATAACTCAAACTAAATCAAAAACATTATTTATATTTCTACAAGACTATTTTTTTACAAAACGTAAATACTGGAGGTTTTCAGAAGTTCTTGTTAATGAGAGTTTCCTGTATATATAATATAATACAAAATACAAATACCACTTAACTGCTAATGACGAAAACCATGAATTATTCTTGCTATTTCGTCTCTTCTTAATTGTCCTCCCTGGCGCACAAATGCCTCACCATATTCTACAGGCATCTGTACAGCTTCATCACCATTATTGTTGAGATCTTGCAAGATTTCAAAATTTTCCTCGTTGAGGTGCTTTGCAACATTATTCAAAATGAAGCAGCTTAAAATAAGAGATGAGACTTTTTCTGTTTATGTGAACTTTGGTTTGCAGTATAGGGAAGCGCTGTTTAACTTGGCCAAAACATCTTTCTATTATAACTCGTTCTCGAGTGAAAGACCTATTGCACGAAATCTGCTCTGGAGTAAGAGGATCTCCGTATGGCGTCATAAGCCATGGAGTAAGTCCATAACTCGAATCTCTAAGGAGAAGTGCACTAACTCTATTTCACTGCAAAATGTTAACAATGTCGGAATTTCTCCATATACGCGAATCATGAACGGCCCCCAGCCAAGATGCATCCACACTTGTAAACTCTTCTCGAACGTTGCAAGTAGCCTGGACGTTAATACTACAAAATCCCTTTCTATTGACATATTCATCTCCATGTACTGCTGGTTTAATAATATGGATGTGAGTGCAATAAATTGCGCCGATAGCGGAAGGGAAACTGTATTTTTCTTGCCATTTATATTTCTCTTGCTGCAATGCTTCTACGGTTGATGGAAACTTTACCCATACATTTAATTTTCGTACTATACTATTCATTACTGCTGCCACTGTTACAGATACCGTTGTTTGGTGTACATCAATGTCCTCACCAACGCCACTTTGAAATCGCGGGTCGCCAACGTAACGAAGAAAAATTCTCATTTTCTCAGTAGATGTTAGAGCACCACCTCTATTTTCAAACTCATCTCCTAAGAAATTTTGAGCCAACCATTCCATGTTGTTCTTATTAAATCTATATAAAAGCCGACAGTCTACATTGCGAGATTCTCTCCGAACTTTATAATGCTTTCTGGCACGACGAATAGGCATAAATTCACATATTAACAGGATATCGTTATTTAGATGTCATGAGCCATACAAGATCTGACAAAAACTTAGGTAGAAAAGTTATCAGATGATATTGAATTTTTTTAACAATGGGCTCATGACATTAACATACTTTACTGTACTTCATGTGGAATGTGAAAAGTATGGAAATAAGATAAAAAAAATTTGAATAAAGTGTATAAAACCTAATTACAGCATTATTAACAACATAAACAAACTTTAAGTGCATTCTATTGACTCATTTGTCTACGAATGCCTACCAAAGTGACACGGTTGTACCAACATAATAACAATACTTACAGGTGGGAACATCTACCTTCATTAGTCTTGTGCTGCTCTTTGTAAATTGTCAAGAAGAAGCACGCCTTGAAGTCGGTTAATACCACAATCATCTGCAAACACTGGTACTTTTCAAAAAATAAGACTTAAACTATGAATTCAATGATAGAACTGTAAAAAATGCCTGATGGCAAGTGCTCTTTGATCCTTGCTACAGACGGGAAATAAGGAGACAAACAAATCCTTGACTGACTGCTTCTATCTGGTCTGAATTCGCTGATGTACGTAACTGTTTTTAAAAACAAATGTCAGTTGTCCACACTTTTCGAAACCAGACTCATGCAACCATAATGACATTACCGGCTGCTAGCATTAACATAGTTCAATGTATAAGACAACTAATTATAAAGGTTACTCCAACTAGAAGATATAATAGAATAGTTATGCACAAATCCTGAACTGTCTTTAGAGGTAGATTCTATCGCCAAGAGTTGAGCTGGTACGCATTAAGGTTTCCAATAAAATCCTAACGAAATTTAATTGTCGTTTTTTATGCTGAAGTAGTCGCGAAGGCAGAAACTCAAGTACCAGGTTCAGCGATCGCTACAAAGTGATTCATTCTATTGATTTGATTTTTTGAAACGCTTAATTAAGATTAGTAGAACTGGGCAAAGCATCCTCGTGCAAATATCTTTACACTCCCATGGTTTTAGAAAGAAAGGATATGTGGTACCTGCCAGTTAAGACATACGAAGGTCAACAAAGTAAGAATGAGCCGCAAAATCTGGTGGGTTTATCTAACAGACCTAACGCGTAGCGGCGTCAGAAAAGCAATCTCAGACAAGCAATATTCCTTGGCATGTCACTTAGATATATCCACATCACTCTTTCATAACATGTAGTCGTAAGTGAGTTAATGGATTTTAAATTCATGGAGCAAATTAATAAATGCACACATGCTTAAAGTTATCTACTATCCACTATCTAAACAGTATCTTTGATCCACCACGAGTGGACCATCCTGTATGAAACGTATCCGAGGTGAATCTGATTTTGGCTTACCTCAATTGGGGTACGTAGGAATCCCTTTTGGAGCACCTTAATCGAAATACGCGTTTGCCAGCAAGATGCGTTCGTTACCTGGTCTCGCCTCCGAGTGCGGCGTTAAGTTTTAATTAATTCAGTCTTAATTAGTACATATAAAAGTTAACATTATAACCTAGGAAATTATTAATCCCACCAGTTTACGCTGGAACTGCTCCCCGTTGTGATTTACGATTACGTTATCACATGTGCGCCGGGATCAAATACTTTGCTGAGGTCACTTGTGCAACGAAATTGCAAACCGAATGCAAATTTTGTAGTTAAAATTACAATTCAAGTTCAAGGATAGAACAATAGATCACCAACCACCACTATCTAATGAATGAATCGTGAACTTAGAGGCATTCCGGCCACCTTAAGGAGCCAGTGCATAGGCCGCTTAAACAGGCCCTTATGCACCTCTACGTTTCCTAGATCACAAGCCTTGCCTTTCAAGCGAAGTTGAGTATGGAATTGAGCCCAAGCTCGTGGACGTCCGGAGGGTCCAAAGTAATAGTCCCCAGTATAGTCTGCCTATAGTAGCTCAGAGCCTCACAGCGACACAGAGCATGCGCCAAGGTATCTTCCTCTACCCCGCAGACAACAGTCCCACCAGCAAGCTTAGGTTGGCTATATCCAGAGATAAGCCGAAACGTGCATCCTTAGCACTGGGCCCTTCAATTAGTTCCCGAGCCTGGCGGAGATGTCTTGAGATACTTCTTCATTTCTGAACGAGCTTGCTGGCCGATCCTGTCTTCGCCAGAGCGTCCGGCGTCTCATTGCCCCTTATCCCAGCGTGCCCCGGCACCCACATTAACGATACCGGATGCCTCGCTGCGAGGCAATCCAGAGCCTCTCTGCATTGCAATACAAGACTCGAAGTGATCTTACAGGCATTTAGTGCGTTCATTGCACCTTGGCTGTCGGATAAGATTGTTATTCTCCTCCTAGGCCCACCCTCCTCCAGAATGCAAAATACACAAGCCAATCGCAAAGATTTCCGCCTGGAAAATAGTTGTTTATCTACCGAGAGGCAGAGATAGCCTGGTTCCAGGCCCAGAGACCCCAGCGCCTGACCCCTGTTCGGTGACCGAGCCGTCCGTGTACCGGACCTGCCCGCTCGCTCCGGAGAGTCTCAGGCTACCGGCGTCCCACTCCTCCCTCGTTGGATACTCCACAATAAACTTGCGGTTGAAGCGATATTTAGGGGTAATACGATCACCCCTGCCCAGAAGGACGGGGTCCTCCATTTGCAATTCGACTAAGATGGCAGTATGCCCCTTGACAGGATTCAAGAAGGTCCAGCTGTCCTGACTCCACAGTCGATGAGCGACTACTCTCGCTTTACCGCGGATCACTAGATCCAACGGTGGGAGAGCAAGCAGAGCTTCCATCGCACTCAATCGCGTTGTTCGCACTGCGCTTGTGATGCTAATACAGGCCAAACGCTGAATTTTATTGAGTTTGGCCTTAGTTGTCTCAGTTCTAATGCAAGGCCACCAGACCAGGGAGCTGTTCAAGAGAGATGGACGTACTATCGTCGTGTACAGCCAGTATACCACTTTGGGTTAAAGCCCCCACCTTACACCGACAACACGTTACGTCTAAAGGCCCACTATCGAAAGTATGCAACCTAAGATGCGCCAGCCTAGAATTTAAAGCACAACATGGCGGTATTTCCATTTTTAGCGAAGTACTCATTGGTGGTAGTGCCACTATTTGCGCACTACAGTACTGATTTTTTCAGTTGACCCACATTCGCTTGTTTGCTTTCCGTAGTACGAATCCAATGTCTAGAGCCACAAAGGATGCTAAAAAAACATGAAACAACTTTGTATAGGGTACAGGTCTTATTCAGCCTGTTAAAATATCCTGTTTAGACGCAAGCCTGGAATTGCCAATTTTTGTTCTACATTTCAGTCATTCTGTGTCAAATATAAACACTAGAATTTCCCAGCCTATGAGGGCAACCAATTTTTTGTTCGAATTCAGATACGCAGACCCTCTGATTTTCTCCATTTGACTCCAACAACTCAAAAAATAAATACTATTGCGATGGGGGAACGATAACCGGTCAAACTTTGAATTTGAAAATTAATAGGGAGAACCTGTATGGATTTCAAAACCTAATTCTTATCCGACAACTAAAACACTGCTTTATTTGTATCTTATATTTCTTAGATATTTATTATTAAAAGAACATTATTTACTAAATTTTCTTTTCTAAGTCTTATTTTTATAGTTAGGATATACCTGCCTATGTTCTTGTATGCAACGTAATAAAAAAATTTGTTCCTCATTAGCAATGATTAAGCCATGGGAGTCTTGCATTAACTTGACTTTTTTTTCTGCCGAATCGTTAACCATTCTCAGTGTTTGCATCTTATTCTTAACGTGTTGAAAAGAATCATTATACGGCCATGAAGTTGGACACTCGTCGAGAAAACTATCATCAATTTTGAGTCCCCTGAACAAGGACTTCCTTTTGATTGAAACAAAGTTATCGATATTTTCCTCTTAAATAAAAAATGGGTAATTAGCTACCATCTAAACATATTGGTTTTGTCCGTTCGACCTCGGACAGATATTTTGTGCAGGACAACCAACGGATAGGTTAGCAGCAAACCTATATCTGCGGTATAAGGTCTATCGAAAGAAGACGAGGTGCAATTTATTACCAGAATAGTGGTTAATACTGGCTTACTTTAACAGTTAGCATATTATATCAAAGCAGTAAAAGAAAGCGAAGGAAAATTTATTCGTCAGACTTACCATCAAATGGGCCAGAAAGTTCTTCTTTCGGTGTGATGTAGCTTTTACCGTGGACTGATCGACTTTTTACTTTAGCTTCCTCATCTACGTTGTAGTCAAACAGAGATAAGACAGATAGCTCATCTGTCAAATACCATAAATGATGAGCACTTTTGAAAAGCTTCTTTTAAAATGGTTTTAAGGTTGCTTTTACCTCTCTGAAATATTCAGGCACGATATTTTTTCAGTATAAATTTGTATCTTCTCGATATCCATACTTTTACAGCTATCGCGGAAGTTTTTAAACATCGGAATGTCAGGGCTTGTAGTCACTTGGTCGATCTTTCATTCAAACACGCCTTTTAACATTAATTAGTAGACGAGACAGTGACAAACAAAAATAAGCATTTATTTATCAAATTTATGTTCGAGAAGAACGCAGGCATCGTTAATGCGACCTGTATTTGAAGCAGTAGTACCACAACACAGAATATAAACTTTATTTTCAAGATTACAGTCAATAATACCATCCCAAACTACCTGAGCCTGCTCGCACCCTGGTGTTATCCAATTTAGGCACAGCGATAAGTTCATATTTATTTTCATACGTTATAACAATTGGTAGACGTTCTATTTGAGACTTTTGTGCACTTAAAGGTGGCAACAATTTGCCATCCCACTGGACAGTTACAGTATCCGGTACCTCGCTTTGAAAATCAAGATTTATAGCTTCTGCGTGCTCCGGTCGCCTTTTGGTACGAATTATTTGAATGGAGGACTTGCTTATAGGAAACTCGTCAGAGTTATGTCCAAGTCCCACAATGGTTTCTTCAATAATACAAACAGCATTTCTCATACTTAACTGACACCTATCAAATGCTGCTAGTCAATTTGGAGATATGAAACTTTTCCTCATTTGAGTTTGATTAGTATTAGGTTGAGTGCTCCGAGTTGGGATGGGCAAAGTTTCCTCAAAATCTCGAAATCTGAAGATGAATTTTCTTACACTAATTCTTAAGATGATCGAGTTAAGGAAGCAACATATTGAGCTTGCCGCTTTTGTTCTTCAGTGTTCCTAAGACGTGCCTTTTTTTCTTTTATGACTGATTTCTTATCCACCCCAGCTAAATGACCAGGTCAACCAGGCTCCCTCTGTCGGTGCAAGAAGATCCCATCTTCATTTATTTTCATCAATTCGTAACAAACTCTTGTCGACGTTGCTCAAGCACATATAGTGTTTTTGCAAATCTCTCGAAACTTGGTATAAGGTAACCGGTTATCAGTAAATAATGCACTCCCGAATAGTAAGGTTGGCTCTCATTGACACTTAGTTTCACCTCCCGGATATTATAGAACAAATCTGCTAGTACTTGTCCACTAGAGGGAAGTTTTGAACCGGTAATTTGATGCTTTACGCCCCCTAGTAAAAATATTCCCTTTTTAGAACCGCGTAGTTCCTTCGACATGTTGACTGAACGAAAGCAGTGCATTTGCTAATAGAACAAACGAGCACTGTAACACGTTAGCTAGCGCGTGCCTAATATGCATGTTTTGACATGTTCCAACGTAACTCGGTACAGATTCCTCTGGTTCTAGGTTGTATAAAGCTTTATTTACAACTGATTTGACATTGCTCAAGCAAAATTAGAGGCTATGCGTAGAACGTTCTTTTTTAGCGACACCCGAGTTAACACATCTTAACAGTAATTCGTAATAACCAACAAGTACAATAGCAATACTATTCCTTCTATTTGACCACTTACTAATTGTATGATTTCCGTGACAGAGATCTACCCTTTATATAGAACAACCTTCCTAAGAAGTAACAAAACTATTAGATTTATAGTATTGTGCAACAGTATGCCCGCTGCCTCAATGTAACAGCGGCGGTAGCTCGGTGTTTAGGTTTTTGTAGGGGTTTGCCTTCACAGTTGCTTCACTACAAAACATACAATCATCTCGTTAATCCGATTCACATTTTTGGTATTGACAGCGCTCTACATGCAGGAATTCAGAACGACAAGCCCATCTCTGCCGGTGAGCTTTAAAAAAAGAGAAGAGTAGCAGCGACTTCCTATCTGACGAAAGGCCTAGAGATTATCACTTGGGGACGCACAATCTTGTACAGTATAATGCTTCCAAAATACACTACTGTACCTGGACGAACAAAAAGCATCCTAGCGCTCAACCAGTTTGGATGAAAGGCCAAGCTGTGCCAAAGAGTTCATTTCGGCTCGTCAGAGGCCAAATCACCGAGGATTTGAACTGGCACGAACACATTCCGTCAATAGCGGCAGCTGCTGAAAAAAAGCTAGGCTATTTGTTTAGGGCTAAGCAGGAGTTCTCCTCGCATGACTTCCATACTCTATACAAGGCCCAGATAAGACCTAACTTCGAGTATTGCTCACACGTTTGGGGTGCTGCCACCCCGACTACATTATTCATGCTATATGCTGCCCAGAGGAGGGCTGTGCGGGTGATCGGTCATTCTTCTGTAACAGTCAGTCTCAGGACCCTTTTGCACCGGCGTACCGTCGGCGATCTAGCTCTCTTCCACCGCTACACCAGAACTGACTAACACGACCGCTCCTTTGTCCCGAGGGCGTCGAGATTATAAAATAATCTACAAAAGGGGCTTTTCTCAGTTCGACTGACCTTAGGCAGTTCAAAAATCGATTCAAAACCTTCTGCCAGGGCGGCTGCTTCGGTGTTTAACAGCTTTTTAGATGTCTTTGAAAGCCATATATCAAATGTTCTGCAGTTGTATTCTTATTTTACAGGATTTTTCTTGAAACTGTGGTGAGCTAGACGTATTCAATTCTCTCTTATAAAATAACTTTTTTTGTTGCAGGTACAAGGAGCGGATACGGATAATATTCGAAGAAGTAGTACTACAAAAAGGAGATATCAGGTATGTTATCGTCGAACGATCACATAGTAAGTAATCACAATATATAAAAGCTAAGTCTTCTATCAGACCTTTTTGATCCCTTCCACGGAAAGTCGGGGATCGAAAATAATTTACCAGAAAAGGCTTTTGTCATTAAGGTCATAAATATGGGTGATTTATATATAGTAGCCTCGGAACCCCGGTAGTTAGTATCTGCCTTCGCTCTAGCTTCAAGGCAAAAAACACTCAAAAGCATCATAGCACACCTCAAATTCGGATTTCTCTCCCTTGTATAACAGATCAGCTACTCTACGTTAAGCTGCTCTTGGCTGTACTGGTGAAACAAAAACAACTTTAAGCCTCCCAACACAACAAAAGTTTATTTGGTATATTTCCATTCTGTTTGTCTGCCTAATGATTGTTAGCGGTTTGTTTTGGACGACGGAGTTCTCTCGGAGTTGTGGAATGAAGTGCTTTACTGCAAAATGACGAGCCCGGTACAGCTTGAACAACACGAACTTCTGTATATATAAAATATTTCACTTTTTTCGACTTCCATAGCAAGAGTGAGCTCACCATTAGAAAGTTGCTGCGAAAATTCCGAAAAGCAAGACCGACAATTAAGAACAACTTGTCAAAGCATGCCCAAATAGCGTTCACAGTCAGCTTATGTCTACTAAACGGAAGTTTCACTCCTGTTTGGGATGACAAAGGCAACTTTCTTTCACTAGAGTATAGTTTCTGAATGGTTACCTAATACGGTTGGGCGCTGCTTAATCCGTGGCGGTCAGATTTATCTTTATACTGTGAAATCGTTCATTTTCATAGATAAGACTAGTAAATATGGCACCACCCTTCAAATACCATACAGTATATTACTCCCAACATTACAGAGCCACTCGTCGCAGTCTGTATAAATGACTACACTGTATCTACTGTCCCAAATATGATAAATCATACAAATCAGACAGCATTTGGACCAGTAATGGGAACAGGTAACACTGAGCAATTTGCACTCGCTATGACGATCCAACTGAGTACTACTCGTTTTAAGATATTGGGCATGTGTAGTTGTCATCCGAAAGAATATGCTCTTTTCCAGGAAACTAGCGAGCCCTTTTGATATACCATAGTATGGAAAGGTGGAGTTTCTTATTTTTGTACTTATACTGAGATAAAAATTAATCATGATAGTATTGTTAACTTGAAATAAGCAAACAGCTAAAACGATCCATTATTTGATGGAATTCACGATAACAACCTTTGCTGTGCTTCATACAAAGTCCCACATCGCAAATTGATCGTATCCCTAAGGTGCGTGTGACAACGTGTCCTGACTCAGTGAAGTTGGCCAAACTATCAAAATTACGTGTTTAATTAAATTTGTGATATTAGCGGAAACATGTTGAAAACTAAGATACATTTCTGATAAGGCACGATATTTTTATTTAATATTAGCTTAAAATACCACATTTTTTTAGAATAAAGAAAAAACGTCTTACAAATAAAAAAAAACTGCCGATTAATAAAAATCAACGAAACCACTGTGTTAAATCGCCTTTTCGACTGATTAGTGCTTCGATACGTCTTGACATAGTGTCAACTAATGTGTGGTAGTCATCTGGTGTAAAACTGCCCAAATTTCTTGGAGAGGGTTCGCAATTCTGTAACGATTCTTGCGGGATTCGATCAGTTTCAATCGGCTATAGATCTGGACTACTCGACGTCCATTTTAAAACTGAAATATTGCTTTCTAATCTTTCACTGTTTTAGCCGGCTGGCAAGTGGCACCACCTTGTTGGAATATACATTCAATATTGTTTAAACAAATTTGTTCAGTTTGGGGTATTAAGTTATTTTGAAGCACATTAATGCACTTATCAGCTCATAAAACCTTACACAAAGTATGTTCTCCACTCCCCTTACTGATATGAATCCCCAAGACATAACAGAAGCCGGAAACTTAACTTTTTTCAAGACAGTCATTCTGAAACATTTCTTCCTTAGTTCTTATGACACGGCTGCTACTATCACCAACGCAAACTTCCAATCTTGCTTCATCACTCCAAATAAACTCCATTATTTGGAGACTATAATTTGTATTCTCTGACCCACGCTACTCTGTTTTTCTTGTACATGTTTGTCAATGAGCGCTTCTGTTCTCCTAGAAATACTGAATTAAAAACGAATAATAAAAAAATCTACCTTGTAAGTTTCAAATTTTTAAAGTATTTGGGCAGCTTGGTGACAAGTTGCTCTTGAAAACTTTTTTGTGGTTGCCTGATTCATTGATATTTCCAATTCGTTATAATTACCACGCCGAATTTCCTTGATAATCCGTTTTAAGGCTCTTAAGTTTGTGTAGGAATAACGCGGGCGACATCCAGTTCTGGGTTTTTGACCCACATATCCCATTGTTCTATACAATTTGATAATATTTCGAACTGTATACCTCGATGTGTTTACACTGTCAGCGATTGGGGAAGCATTTTGACCTTTTAAATGCAAGTGAATGGTCACTTCTCTTATTTTTCCAGAAACAGCTTCACCACGAGCCATTTTAATTGTCAGCAACAACAACAATGCATTGAAAGTTGATTTAAACGTCAAAAATCGGCTTCTTAGCATCGTAAAATGTTATTTATTTTACTAAGCCTACCTGTATTTTATCGAAGCGAATAAACACATCATTCAGCTTAAGTTGTATCTATCATGTATTTTGCTATATACTAAATCATTTTGCAAAGAAGCCAATTTCGAAATAAAAACGCTTTAAAAATAGCCGAGTCGCTTTTAATATCTTTCCATTAACACTTAAAGAAACCAAAAATATATCTATGTGAAATAAACTTTTAATTAGCTGTCAAATAAATTCACAAATATCATGTTTTGGGCGATGGCCAATTTCACTGAGACAGGGATCGTATACTTACAGTTTCCGACAGCTTGACTATTTTTTTGTTGTTTTTTATTTCTGATTAAAACTTAAGTGATAAGTGATTACCATTTGTCAGGAACCAAGTAAATTGACTATGAACTAGGAGGACCCCTGAGGACCAGCAGGGTGTAAAGGGTTAAATGACTGCATGCCAAATAGACACTACCAATCTCTTGGAAATAGTTTCTGATATATAGGCAGCTTTATTGAGAGACAAAAATATTTTAACTGTGAATATAAGTCACTATGATGATTACAAGTAGCCTATAGCTAATGGTTGTTTAGCCTCTTGCATCCGATACATAGATTTTATAGATTTTGCCTATTTTACGTCCTACGCCACTTTACGAGGAAGTACTGTGATCGCGAAAAATTTCTAAAATGAGAAATGTCGGTCTGTCTATCAGTCTATCCGCTAATTCTTAGACTGCATATAACTTGAAAGTTTCTACAAAAGTCACTATTATAGTAAGGACGAAAAGTCTTTGTAATTTTTGAAAATTCGGCACAGTGGTAGAGGAGCTATAGTCAAAAATATAAGAATATTAAAATCGCTCAAACTTCGTTTTTTGACGTTTCCGGAGGCCCCTGAACATTTTTAGAGAAATTTTTGTACGTTTTGAATTCTGGTGATTGGAGGTAGGTTATAGGGAGGTGGGCAAGAATGCATGAAAATTTTTTGGTTGTACTCCCCCAACCCCGATAATTCTACGCATCTATTAGCCATATTTCACACATCATATGTTAGGTTTCCCCGTACATTTGGCTTTAAAGCTTGATCGAGAAATGATGTCAATTTGCGTACTCCTGCTAACTAAGCTCACCGCCTGGCGATCACTAATTTATCGGTACATGCAGCGCACTAAAGATACACGGAGTGAAGCAGAGCAGCGGTGGGCCCCGCCGTGCAGATGTGGGAAGAAGGGACAATGCTGCCAGATAGACAGTTACTAGTATGTTTCTCTGTTGTATATGTTCGTAACTGATTTCCTTACTTATTTTTTGTGCTGATGACAGTGTTGCGTAGGAAGTACAGGGTTGCCCTACCTTTTTTTGTAGCATCCTTTTATCCGTTTTTTTAACTTATGACGTCTGCTCAGCTACTGCTATCGAATCGTCTACGATATGAAGTGGAAAAGGAAATACAGGTCCGGACAAGTTAAATTTTGTAAAAATCATTTTGCCCAGGAATAACATATCGCGTTTTCTGAATGTTGTTTGAATATTTGAACATTTGGATGGATTTACACTACCGGTGCTGTTCCGGCTGTGTATACAAGTTAACTCAATATTTAGATACGCAACCGCGAACCCTTAGTTCTTAATGCAAACCTGGAAATATATTGAAGTATGTTTTCATTAGTGTTCAAAAACGTATCTACTGCAGTCTCACAACATAATTAGCCAGTTAAGTTTCGTTCGAATTGCTCCAGTGATTGATAGAACTACTTGGCTATAAGGAAGCAACAAACACACCAACAGGGTTACAAAGCGGTCCAAAAGGGTTTTCATTGTGTATATTGAAAGCCCAGAAAATTGATCAGCCGCGATGCCGAATCCTTACCCATGAGCGTCATCCTTGAAGCGGAGGCACCGACTTTGATGAAACTTGGAGAAAGGTAAATGTAACTTCATAATTTGAAATAGATCTAGTGAGCAAACAACGAAATTGTTCCTAAACTACATTTTTGCCTGTTTCACAACCTTTTTTTAAGTATGGAAAAACGTTTATGAAATTTTGAAGGTTTTTCCGGTTTCTGATCACTTCTTATAGTCACAAAAATTGAAGCATATGTATCAAGGGTCATCTTTTGGGATCGAAGAGATTAAAGTTGTACGCATACAAAATTTTAAATATATGAACCTATGTGACTGTATGAGCAGCAGCGAGTGATTTTTTTTTGTTTTACACCTGCGTACTACTCGAAATTCAATAGCATTAAGGATGGTACACGTAACTATTTTTAAGTGATGTGTATTACTGAGGCGACGCTGGAAAACAGGAGATATTCACCGAAAGAAAAATATTAGCAAAATTCATAATGTACAGGAATTTGGAAAGCGTAGTGTGAGATGAAATGCATCTGGTAAATCTGGTACACGTCGAAT